AGAGAGAGAGAGAGAGTGTGTGTGTGTGTCTCTCTCTCTCTCTCTCTCTCTCTCTCTCTCTCTCTCTCTCTCTACCCCTTTCTACCCCCTTTCTACCCCCAGGAAAGACTCAGAAGAACACTGTATTTTTTGCCTTTATGACATATCACAAAATGACTTTTCACTAAACCAAAGGTAAGTAGCATGCAGCCTCAACAGGATTACCCCGGCTGTCCAATTCTGCCACATTTCTGAGGTGCTGCCAATATTCACTGGTACAGAGGCAGATTTGGCAGAAAGTGCTCTCTAGTGGGTTTGGTGAGGGGGAATGAGCCCTCTCCTCTCCCAGACACTGCCCACCACTGTCGCAAAGGACAGGCACCATTCTCAAAAGAGGTAATCCAGGATAAAGAAAGAGGAAATTAGATCAGATTTTAATTTGTGCCTTTCTTCCACAGATGGGGGAAAGACTGCTCTTTCTACCATTCTCTACATTGGTAGTTAACTCTTACCTCAGGAGACAGCTCACCAAGATAAAGAATCTGCAAAGCATCCCCAGATTTCGTTTGGTACGAAACTAACTGGTCTCCTTGTTGACGTGCAATTACCGTCACCTGAAAAGTGGTGGGGAGAAAATAAATAAATAAAAATATTCAAAAAGTCAGTGTGTGCAATGGTTGGGAGGGGTGCTAATTTCTTCAGAGTATTTACCATATCTGCTGGGCCCAAATGGGATGAGTCTTCACTCAAACCTGCATAGAAGAATGAAACACGAAGATCTCCCACCTGGAAGTGGGAGAAACAAAGCTGTTGGCAACAGAGGCTTCTCAGTGAAGATTGCAGGTATAGACTTCACACATTCTTTGACATCACATTATTAATACAGTTCAGACAAGGTTCCCAAGCAAGGCTCTTGATCAGGCAATAGCCTCTAATTTTTGACTCAGTATCCCACAGCCTCTCCTAGCAATAAATCAGTACATTTGCAATAAACTTTATATGCAGTTATGCGTGGAAGGCAAAACAAATGGCATAATGCAAAATGTAAAGAAATACCAAATAGATTAAAAAACAAGGAGGGGAAACTATCTATCAAACAAGCCCATTATCACCTTGTTCTGTGCCATCATGTCATTTCAGACTTGTGTTTGACACCATGAGCTAATGACCTCCAGAAGATCCTGTCATTAACAGACATGCTGCAGCTTTTAGCAAACTAAAAGCTGCAGCCACCTTTACTGAAACAATTTCATGATAGCTCTTCTTCTCTTCCTACTGTTTTCAACTTTTCCTAGCATTGTTGCTTTTTCCAGTGAACCTTATCTTCTAATGATATGTCCAAAGTATCATTAGGTAATAATCTGCCCCAGTTCCAGAGACGCATCTTAATATGGTAAGGAAATTTGAGTATGTCAGGGAAATTCTGAGCAATGGCATCAGGAGGCTAAGCTGAACTTTCAAAGCTGGACTTCTAGCAGGATCACCTAAAGTGGAATACTCAAATCTGAAACACTAGATTAAGGTCTACCTATCCTCTGCAGGAATTAACAGTTACATCAGAAGAAGAGAGGTGATTATTTCCAGTCATGATGACACTGGAGAAACTCTTGAAGGGCAGCAGCAATCATGGAAGATGACACTGGCAGAGGATCTTTCATATGCAATAGCAAGGACACTCCAGCTAACTCTTGTTAGTACTGCACAGAAGATGACAATGACTGATTACTTCTGAATGCCTTATAGCTCTGTTTTTTCTTTTAATGGGGATACTCTGGAATGGAGTTTTCAGTTTTGGGATCAGTGGTAACATATGGGCTGAGAAAAGTGCAAAGTGCATTTGCTCTTTGGCAGCTAAGTACCTGATGAAGATGCTGTAAAAATGGGCTACTACCAGAACACATGTCACATGTCTGTGTGTTTTTACCTGTTTAAAGGTATATCAGCCTACTTTACCTTTAAGTATTTCATATTAATTGTATACATCATTATTTCAAGTAATTTCAGGTTCAGCATAATTCACGTTACTACATTAGATGTCCATGCCCTAACTACATTAGATGTCCATGTCCATGAATAAAACTTTTAACTTGTGTTTGGTAATTTTTCACACTATACACTATGCAGTTCATATTTGGTTGGTTGTTTCAGTATACAGTACTGAAGGAAAAACATCAGTTATGGGGAGAGGAGATGAAATGCTTTTGTTTTTTCAACTCTACAGTATTATCATCTGTTTCTTACTTCTGGACGCCGAGGGTTTTCACTGTGAAAGAAGTAATCCCCTGAGCGGATCACGTCAGCATGAGGATCTTCTAGTCTCGACAAGCTCATCTGCTTGAAGTTATCAATCTTCTCAATGAGGCCTAAGAAAGAGCAGAGCATTAACTCTTTTTTACACAATACTGCAAGATACAACATTTTACATACATTTGGTGGCTTTTTTTTTTTTGCTTTGCAAAGTTTTGCTCTGCAAGAGTATAAGCAGAAGAAAGATGGGAAACATTTTGTGTTTCTGACTACAACTTCCAGAACCCTACAGCCAGCAAGGTCAGTGACCCTGTTGACCAAGGGATACTGGAAGATGTAGTCTAAATAAACAGGTTTTCCCAACCTTGGACAAAAATCAGCTGGAACTGCACACTGAAATTGCCAAAATCAAAAATTCATTAAATTCCTGCAGACTGAAATTGCTAATATTAACACTTCCTTTTTTTAAAAAAACCCAGCTTCACTATGATCTTAAATCACATTGAAAGAAGGTGGTAAGTTTCATGCAATTAAACACTACCAAAGTACCTACCTCTGGAGAGAAAGAATCTGCCCACTTGTACATCAGGAGCAATGGCTGTGAAAGACTCAACAGCCATGGCACTACATGGACAAAAAGCATTGTCAATTAAATTCTATCATGACAAACATAAAGAAACAAAAGGAGTTGTAGCAGAACAAAGCTATACAGTGGTACCTCAACTTATGAACTTAATCCGTATTGGAGTTAAGTTCGTACATCGAAAAGTTCGTAAGTTGAGGCAAACTTTTCCATAGGAATGCATTGAAAACCATTTAATCTGTATCTGCTGTTTTCCGTTTGTATGCCGAGGCACTGTTCGTAGGTAGACGCATCAGTTCCGATAGGAACTAATGCAAAGCCGGTTAATCCGTACCCTAGCACAATGGAGTGATTTTTAAATTTTTTTCTTCTTTTGACCTAAGGTGAGCTTAGGTCAAAAAAAGGGCAGGAAAGGTTTTCCCCCCTCTTTTTTGGTTCGTAAGACAAGGCTTCGTTCACAGGTCAAAGCAACTTTTTGCGAACAGAGCCGTTTGTAACTTGAATCATTTGCAAGTAGGGACGTTCGTAAGTCGAGGTACCACTGTACTTCACTATTCCCAGCCAAAGCAACTGGTCTGCAAGCACGTCATATCAGAAAACATATGTGCTAAGCCACAATGGGAAATATATGACCCTCCAGGTGTCTTGGATTTCAACTTCCAGAAGCCCCAGCAATCTTGTCCTGACAGTTTGGGAGTTGTTGTCCCTAACATCTGGGAGACCACAGGTTTTACTCCACCTGTGCTAATAGAGTCACAATGACATCTTATTCTGATTCCAGAAGACCCAACAGCGTCAGTGCAGGATTATGGGACCCAAAAAGAAGTATTTCTTTGGGGTGTTGTCAGAAACACAGGAAGAGAGCTAGAAGAGAGAGCATTCATACCTACAGCTCATTTTGGGGATGGGAAACATGGCACTTACCTAGGGTTTTTATGACCAATTTCTCGATCAAAGTTTTTGCTGTTCACAACCTCTGCTTTCCATTCAGTATCTAAAAGGGAAGCAAGAAAGAATACGGAGAACTGCACCAAGGCTACAGTCATATCATCCTTGGGAAGGCAGAATGGTTTGGATCTCCCTCTTGGGAGATAACAGTTTAGAATGTTGCTCCCGGTCTCTAATGATCACAGATAGAATTGCATGGCTAAAATGTAACTACCAAGGAATACTGATATACTGAGAAGTTTCAAATGAGTATCCGATGAAGGACAAACCTCCTATGTTCATAGGGTGGGTAGAGGACTGGAACAAAACAAGTTATCAATTAAAAAGGAAACACTGGAGCCAAGTTAAAAAAAAGGAAACAGAACACGAAGGCCTAACAGCAGAACAAAATCTCACCTGTTTTCTAGAAGTCAATGAAATTTCTGGACATGTTCATGTCACTTCTCACTTCATTTGCTGAGCAGCAGATCTTTTTGAACACTGAAGCCAGACAGCTTTTTCATTCACTCAGTGAGTTTGGGGTAGGGTGTGTGGGGGGCGTAAGTGTTCTTGAAATTAGATATAACAGGCTTCTGCTCTCTTCTGCATCCTCTCTTTAGAATGCCATCAACCAATAACACTAACCCCATTCTAAATTAAAGAATGTGCACAGTATAAATTCAGAACATAAATATGCTCCCAAGCATTTTTATTTCAAAACTCTTAAGGTAAAAATGCTGTCTTCCTCCTTCCACTGGTTCTGTGCCTTTAATAGCTGCATGACTGGGCAGGTTATAGTTACAAGTGATTAAGGGAGAATGCGAATTGCCCCTTTTGAATTTCTGCCTATCTTACAGCTGGTTGAATGCATACTGTTACAATCAGTGATAATCCTAGTAGAAGAACCTCCGTTCTAGACAACTTACTATACGAGTATCTGGTTTCTTTTTTCATTTCACCGTCCTCTTCATATTCCCTAAAGAAGCAAAACAGAACAAGAAGAACAAAATATAACTTGCGAGAAATTGGCTGCCTTCTACACAGGCTTGATACATGATAGAACAAATATTAGTTCAGGATGCATAACATTTTAACCGATCACGCGAAAATGTCCACACTAGAATGCTAGCCAAACAGCACTGCTTCTGTGAAAACATGGAAAATTCTGTTTACATGGAAGACGTGCACTCTTAACAGAAATGGAAAGGAAGCCAGGAACAACAGTGCCATAGGCAAGAACTCTGGAGGGGGGGGGCAGAAGCTAAAGGAAAAGGAAAAGCATAGGCAACGGAGCAATAATCTATGCTGTACCATTAAAGACATAACAATAATTTCAATACATTTGTGCAATCTTTTTGTTACTAGAACTGAGAACAACTTCACTACCCAAGTATGTGAATCCAACAAGCCTTATTTGCATCTTGAGGTAATGAGATTTGAAAGATGGTTCAGTGTCAAGATCACTTGTTTTTGTTGCAGTTATGTATCATCAAGTCACCTCCAGTTCACAGCATCTTATATACAACACTTAGAATGCCTAGTTCCTAACTGATCAAACAAATTTCTCCTTCATTATACAGTGGACCCTCGACTTACAGACTTTTCAAGTTACAGACTTCTCTGGCTGCAAAATTTAGATTCGACTTGCAGCCGGAGAATCGACCTATAGACCAGAAAAAAACCAAAATGGAACAAAAATAGAATAAAAACTGCCAGTTGTGGGATTAATCAGTTTTCAATGCATTGTAGGTCAATGGAGATTCGACCTACAGACTTTTCGACTTACAGCCACCGTTCCAATACGGATTAATTCCTTAAGTAGAGGGTCCACTGTATTTATTACTTTATAATCCTGAGGACAGGCTTCTTTCAAAATCTCACGGAAAAACCCACTGATCTTAGTTGGACACTTAGTAAAATGAGTCCAGACTTGGTATAAGAAGAGAATCTGAAGCCATAGGTGAGGTGCCCCCATCGTCACCATTTCACTACAGCCCAGTTTGGCACACCATTCACCCAAGATACAGCAGACATAGGGAGGAGTGACTCCTTACCCAATACGTCAATTAAATTCCTCATACTTTCCACTCCAGAAGCCAACTATAAACAGATGACTCATAGTTCTATATTCATTTGCCCTTCATAACTCTGAATTATAATCACTACAGGAAAAAGTTGGGCACTAAAAGAAAAGTTATATCAACGTTCTAGATGCCAACAGCAAGGTGAAGAAATAAATTCGAACAAAAGACTCCAAGTCAGTATAACTACATGTGAAGGCTTCCTCTGTCCACCTGCATCAGGCAACGGAAAAGGCCACCCAAATGTGTCCCACCGCATGCACATACTTCACAGCAGAGAATACGTTAAGGTGCCCCTCTTACTTGGAATCTTCATATTCTACCCACTGATACATCTCCACTTGACGCTTGAGTTTGACAGCCCGGATAGAAAGTCCATAGCTGGGATCGTATAAAGGCTAGCAAATCCAAAGAAAATTCAAATCAGTGTGAAATCTGTACTTCAGGAGTAGGCCAAGCAAAGAGTCAGAGAAGAAGGTGGCACTGTTTAGATTTGTGATGGAAGGACATGTTTCCCATAGTTGTTAGATCCTTGGCTTTGTTGGATTATAATCAAGGTCCCTCAGATGCAGAGATGACGTCTGAGCACAATAACAAGCAGGCAAATGCTGACAATCAACCACATTATCCACATTAGCAGCTGTTCCGATCCTGCCTGCTGTCTTGATCTCTAATTAAAGCTTCTGCTTTTCCCTGGAAGCCTACAGCTGAACTGACGCCAGGCTTTCTCTTGAGCTGGCAACACTTTTCACATCACCCCAGAATCCAAGATTTAACCAGAAAAGTACACCAGTTTTGTCCTGTCCTGAATCCCTGGTTCTGGCCTTGGACCCTTGTCAGCCTGCCAGCCTTGGACTCTCTATCCAAGATTCTCTCCCACTCACCCCCACTTGCTTCCACTAAGTGCTGGAATTACCCCGCTCTCCACCTGGCCACCCAGTAAGCTGTACTTGCAATCACTGGATAGATTTTGATTCTTGTGTGTTCAATGAAATTTCTCTGTTGGATAGTTCTTTGAGAATGCTACTGAAGGAGCCCTATGTGTGTTCAGGTGCATGGTTCAAGGACTTTACGTATGCTCAGAACAGTATATCAGATAACAAACTCTACATTAACCTTTTGGTCCAGATGGCAGTTGTAGATTTTCACATATATTTTAAAGGATGGGCAGGGGGAATGAAATAAACAAGCATGAACATTTTCAGGAAAGTCCCCAAATTTAACATGAATAACTGTAGCAACATCATGGAAGGGTCAAAACCATTTCCTAACCCTGTCATTTCATTTACCTTTGATGTTCGAAGGGGGCCAGTTAGGTGTACAAGTTTTCTATCATTCTCTTGCAATAAATTCTGGATGTTGTCAAGAGGAACCACGAGAGAAAGTCCTTCCTCCAGAGATGAGGCTGTCTTCAAAGCTCGGCCCTAGAACCAGTGGTTAAATGAGAGATGAGTTGGGTGGGAAGATGCAACAAGTTGTCAATGGAACATCATGCTAAAATCAATGCACAGAAAAGCCAAATAGCAGTGGTTCCCAATCCTGGATTCCCAGATGTTCTTGGACTACAATTCCCAGAAATCCTGGGCCTTGTTGGTCAGCACAGCTAGTGGTGAAGACTTCTGAGAGTTTTAGTCGAAGAGCACCTGTGGACCCAAGGTTGGGAACCACTGCATAGAGGTTGAGACTTTTTTCAGGCTCCAAACAGAGATACCTTAAACTTGATTCAGCTAACAGCCACCTATCTATAAAAGTGAAATACAATGAAGTAGTCTGTAACTTACATTCTAGCTTATAACATTGAAAGGGAAACTTACATCCTCCAGATACTGGTTCCAGTTTCACAATTTGATAGGAACCACTTCCACAGGCTGAATTAAGTGACTGGTGGCCCTCAAATTGACAGGAGACATGATGGTTCTGTGCTGCAGCTTCACACTGTGAGAAAAGTGTCCCACTGCACTGTGAGCACCACAAGGATTCTCTGTGACTCAAAAAGGTGCATGGAGATGTGAAGCTACCTTGGGAGCACCTCCCATTAGAACTTGCTCCTTGTGACTGTGATGGTGCAGTGGGGCACTTTTCCAACGGTTCAGAGAAGTGGCATGGAGGTGAGGGGGCTGCTCTACCTCCCGATGGTTCAAGGGCTCCCAGTCCCATAATTTGGCCCAGGAGATTTCCACTGTACAATAGGCCTGAGAGTCATTTAATTCTGAAAACCCCAATCTTATCAGAACAATTGCTAGGTTGGCTGTGATCAGCCAGCAGAAGAGTGAAAAAGGGGGCATTGAAGGAAGGAATAAAGGAGCGGAATTATATCGGGTCCAGACCTCAGTCAGCCCAGGCTCATAGACACGCCACCAGTATAAAGTCAGGACAAGGTCTGGATTCTCCACAGCCTCAGCTGGCCCAGTGTCAGTTCTTGTAGCCCTCAGCCATCTGTTCCGGTTCTGACTGCACTCTCATTCACCCCAGTCTACAATCTCTTCTACTGTAATTAAATTATTCACCAAAAAAACACACCACACATTGCATTGTATTACTTCTACAATGTAACTAACTTCTCCATAAGTATGTGAAGTAGCTCAAAAGGGACCTTTCCATGAGTCAATTGGCTTGTCAGTAAACATTAGGAATCTAAATCTCTATTTCATTCTCAGAGGTGAAAACTAAAAATGTCAGACTTCTTCTGCATTGCAAAAAAGTTGTAGTGGCAAAAAGTGTGTTTGTGTAAGAACTGTTAACATTTTTTTTGCAAAACACAAGGTCTCAAGGGGACAAAATACATTTTTTGTCCAAAAAACATTTTGCTGATATTGCTTCAACATAACGTTGCTGCAACCAAAAACAATATTTTTTTTGCAGGAGTGAAAAATGTTGCAGGGGTTGACAATTTCCATAGGGCATCTTAGTGTGTCAGGACACCCTTTTCCACTGAAGATGAGAGAACGTGTGGATATTCATTATATTTTAGTAAACACCCACCTGTAGCTTGTTCACCTGATCAAACTGTGTACCTTGTGATAGGGATACCATAGATTATATTGGGGACAAAATTCCCTCTAATTTTCAGCCCTGCTGCTGCCTGGGAGCCTCACCATGTGCATGGTTCCAGCTGAAACCAGAACTAAAGGGGCACCAACTCCAGCAGCCAGTGTGCAGCTCTGATGGAACTTGTCACATGTGCCTAGCTTAGAGGGAACATTGATTGGGAACTCCCAAAACACTGTGAGGCTTGATATTTCTGTAGTCTATGAAAAGCAACCCCATACCTTCCCAATTCCCCCTATCCCTACTTACCTCATTGGTGAACAGAATGTAGAAAGACAATATGAAAGTGGCAAGCCCCACGAGCATGCCCCCAGAGGTCTCACTGAGGCGTTCCAGGAAGCCAGGTTTGCGCTCACTTGTGATTTTAATGTGCTCTTTCTTGCTAGCCATGGCAGAGCTGTTAAAGAGAGCAGAAGACATTCCCTCACTCGAATTCCTGCTTCAGCAGAAACTGGCAGCTGGATATCAGCGCCCAAGAAAAAGTGCTAATGTCCCAGAGCTTTGGGGGTGGCATCATGGGGGTGGGAAGTAAGGAGATCTAAATCCACTGGTCAATCGCTGGGAGTCTCAAAATATGGGGCTAAATAATATGGTTTTGAAAGTGTCATTAGGAAAAGGTACTAGATATTTAGTTGTTACATATGTTCAAACATATCCAAGGGTGTGCCTAATCAAAAATATTTTCCATCACTGCACATGGCAACATGTTTTGGAGCCAACTTGCACAACCACTTCTTTCCCGGGGCACCATGCAAAGAATTTAGGTGCATGTCATGCTCCAGATAATTTCTTCTTGTTTTCACTATATGGTAGAAGTTAAAAGGAGAGAAGTTAAACATTTTGTCTTCATGCTTTGACAGTCAGAAGAAAGCAAAAGTAAAGAGCTTTGCGCTTGTCAGCTTTCATTAACATTTGTGTCCCATTGTGTGTAATGCAAAGGGATCCTGCCAGCAAAGTAAATCGCAACTGAGATCACTCAGACATATCATCCATGATCTACTATCCAATCTGCACAATATGACTTCCCTTTCCCAGCCTCTGGGTGGAAGCCTCCACCTCAAACCATTACTGACATACAATGAGGCACACAACATAAATACGGTGACAGGAACAAGATCCTATTCCAACCCCTGATGATAATGTGTCCCCATATCTACTATGGCAACTTCACTGTGGGGTCAAGTACATCAGCCACAACACTGGGACTTTATGTATTTGTTAGTTTGCTAAGGAAATCTATGCAATTCCTTGCAACAACAAGGCTGTTCTGCATTCAACATCGGGCAAACAGAACAATATCTACACAAGAGTGCATATGGAGACAAATTTGATATCAGAAATGCCAATACATGAAAGCCAGTTTTGGAACACCTCAATCTCCTGGACTCTGGTACAGATCTTAAAGTAACTGCATTGCAGAAAAGGAATTAAAAAGGAAGATGCAAAAGAAAGACAGCTGGCATGGGTTTTATTCACAGATTCCAGTGTGCCTCAATAGAATTAAATAAGATCAGAAATTCTTAGTGTGGTGTACATATTATAAACTGATTCCACTTGCATTTTTTATATGGCTGGAGCCAGAAATGTCTTTATCTGAGAACCACCTCAGAGACATCCTGTTATCAGCAATCAGATTGATGGGTGATAACAGGTGTTAGTTGGAGGAGGCTCTTGAGAGTCCCCTGGACTGCAAGGAGAAGAAACCTAAAAATTCTAAAGGAAATCAACCCTGAGTGCACACTGGAAAGATAGATCATGAAGCTGAGGCTCCAATACTTTGGCCACCTCATGAGAAGAGAAGACTCCCTGGCAAAGACCCTGATGTTGGGGAAATGTGAGGGCAAGAGGAGAAGGGGACGACAGAGGATGAGATGGTTGGACAATGTCATCAAAGCTACAGGAATGAATTTAACCCAACTCCGGGAGGCAGTGGAAGATAGGAGGGCCTGGCGTGCTCTGGTCCATGGGGTCACGAAGAGTCGGACACGACTAAACGAACGAACGAACAGGTGTTAACACAGCCACTGCCATTCTGAAAGTCCATTACTAACGTCACTGTCACCCTCTTCTTCTATTAATTTAACTGTCACCCCACTGCTCTGATCCATATGTCTGAGGAACAGGATTGTAGATCACGCTAAAATAAATCTGTTAGTTGTGAAGGTACCATAGCTCTTTTAATTTTTTCTTATAGAAGTTTTCAAAGCATCATTACTCCACATGCAATTAAGGAACTACAGCTGTGCACCACAGATTAAACTTCCCCCTCCTGTGTGGGAGTTTTAGATTAAGTTCAGTCTGAAGGCACCTAGAATAGACCTTGATTCTTTGCTAGGCCTCTTCCTAATAAGTTCTCCAAGTTCTGTCAACCTGAACAATTAAGTTCTGCATGAGTTTTTGCATTTGTGAATTCTGTGTTTGCTGCAGCCGGTTGCCTTTTAACTATATGTAATTAATCAACTCAATGCTTTTAGCAGCCCAAGTATCTACCTAGAAGTAAGTTCCTCTAAATGCAAAGAGAATGCTTCAAGAAAGCAATAGAAGGCTGGGAATAGGATGAAACCTTATTAATGTGGGAGAGAAACTGGAAAAGAATAATGCTTAGGATGAACACAGGCTAGCCAAGGCGATCCGTACCTTTACGTTGCTATGTACCGAAGGGGGAAAAAAAAACAAAGCTCATTGCTAACTCCTGTGAAGTGACTTCATGGGAAAGCCATGCACAGACAGACGCCCTTCTCCGAGGGAACACCCGCACCCGCCGGCAGTGCCAAAAAAGAGAAAGAGAGAGGCGCAACCATCCACCCAACGCCGCCGCAATATCTCCTTCGCAAGGGACCGCATTTCCCCCAGAGGTTCTTCTCCAGCTTCTCTCGACCAAAGCAAGCTAAACCCACCTAAATTATCCACGATCGGTGGCTACCAAGGATCTGATCGACACAAGGGCTACTTCCCTGCAAGAGGTCCGCTGGCCTCACGCCGCCTTATCCGTCTTGGAAAATATTCTGCACCCATCGCCTTCAGGTGACCAAAGCTCCCTGGGCAAGCCCGTGGGACAGGAAGGAGGAGAGCAGCCCTGGGGGGGGCATCAATTAATTCTCCTCCATGGGGGGGCATCAATTAATTCTCCTTCCTGGGGGGTGGGGGCGTTGCATTCCTCGACTCCAGCCAACACAAGAACAAGAACCAAAGCCTTGCAAGCGCCCTTCGCGATGAACCCCTTTTAGAAGGCACGAGGACAGAAAATTGTCTCACCCCCCAAGAAATCTTACGCCCTGAGGCAACAAACCGGCCTTGTTCCTAAAAAGAACTTTGGCTCGTTTTCCCTGATCTTGAAAGGGACTAAATCCATAAAGTCGTTTTACAAGAGGTAGCCGCGTTGGTACCTCTTCTGCAGGCATGCCAAGCAAAAAATAAAATAAAATAAAGAAGACCAAAACGTTGTGGCACCTTAAAAGACGCACATTGCTATATTCCGATGTGAGCTTTCATGCACAGTTTTAGCAGGTAGCCCTTAAGGTGCCAAAGGCTGTTTTGGTCCTCTTTGTTTGTCGTTGCCTGATAAACCCATAAGAAGAGAGAAAGAGGCACTTACACAGCTCCACTGGCCGATTCTTAAAACTGGAAGGAAGAAAACGGAGCGGGGATCCCTGCTCGGGAAGGCAAACGAGCTTCTCCACCCAGGAGGGGTTAAGCCGTCACACCCACTCGCCTCCCTCCACCCCTCCCCGCCGCCGCCGCCGCGCAACCCTTGCCAAGGAGGCGACTCCTCCCCATCTCCCTCTCGGCCCTCCGCAGGGCGAATCCGGAGTCGCGCCCCCCCGGCCGCGGTGCCTCCTGGGAAATGTAGTCTTTCATCCGCGGAGGCTCCCTCCTACAGTGCGTGCCTTTCTCTTCGCAAAGCATTGCTGGGAATATCATTGAACTTTCTGAAAGCGTGCGGAGGGGTGAGAGCCGAGCGAGGCAAGGTCACAAAGCATGTCGGGAAAAGAGCGGGAGGCGACGGTTCGGCGAGCGGGCCGCCGGGACTTGTAGTCCGTCAGGGCGGGCGGGTAGAGGGGGAAATAACGGCTCTGTTAGGGTTGCGGGTGGGTGGTGGACCGTCTTCCTTGGGTAAGGCAGGAAGGAAGGCTCTAGTAGGGAGCCGTTGGGTCGTCCGGGGTTTCTTCGTACGTGTGTGTGTGTGTATACGCGCGCTAGTGAGGGAACGAGGCGTTCAGGCAGCGCGTGGGGCTTCTCTTTCGGGGCCTTCGGGGGTGAGAGGTCGTTGCCGCCGCCGCCGCCGCCAGGGTGCCTGGAAGAGGAAAGAGAGCGGCGTGCGCTTCGCGGGGCCGCCGGCGACGAGGAGCAGCAGCCGTGGGTGCCGGCGGTGGCGGGCTCCCTTCCTTCCTTCCTCGGCCGCTCCAGCCATGTCCTACTGCAGGCAAGAGGGTACGCGCAGCCATGAAAGAGAAGGCGGTCGCCTAAAAGGGGGGAGAGGGGGCAGGAAGCCCTCGGGAGGGTCCGCCGGCGAAGCGGAGGGCGAGGCCCGTCGTGGGGAGCGGAAATGAGGGGCACCTGTTGGCCTTCTGGAGCGGTCTCTTGGGCAGGGGGGGGATGATGGGATGAAGAGAAGGATGAGGCTGCGCGGTTCCGAGTGGCAGGGGGGGAGCCGTTTGTCTCTACGAAGCCTGAAAAAAAAAACGGAGGAAGAAGAGAAGTGACAGAAGACCCGTACAGTTGTGGCGCCTGAAAGAACTCCTATATCTGAAGAGGGGCTTTCGTGCCTTTATAAATGTATAAATATTTGCCATGAAGCCTCGCTCCTATGTCTGAGGAAGTGGACTTGAGCCACGAAAGCTTACATTAAAATATAGCAATTAGTCTTTGGAAGTGCCACAAGGCGCTTGTCTTCTTTCATTTTTCTTTCGACCTGATATGTTCTGTTAAGAGTGTTTTAATTTATTAGCCACAAGCTCAGAGCGATTTGTCCTATAAAAAGGTATAGTTCCCCTCCGCCCCCGTCTTGCAGGTAAAATCCCACCCCCCTCGCCGCCGCCGCGTTGCCGTTTCGGGTTTCTTTGCCCAATGGAAGCATTGTCGTTTTCGGGGATGATCAACTCTCGGGGGTGGACTAGGCTAAGCGAAAGTCACTGGCTCTGGGTCCCTCCTTGGGTGGTTTGAATCCCGGTCCCTCCAGACCTGTTTCAAAACGCTTCATCCTTTCATCGAGGTTTTTGAAGTTGCCTCGGGCTTGTTCTTAGATGCTTGTAAAAGCAGGAGGAAACAGGAAGATTGCTCTCCCAGGCGCCATATCCTGAACATTCGTGAAACTGTGTCCGATACTTTTACAAGGACTCTGGACAAGTTACAATGTGTGTTAATGTCTCGGTGCCATGGTGGAAACCTGCAACAAAAATGGGATGCTGTCTTTACTGACAAGTTTAACTCATCAAAGCCCCCTCGCCCTCCTTTTCTTTGACTGTTCTGTCTCTCCTATATTTCTCTTATATCCAGAGTCCAGACCCAAGGTCTCAGGGAGAAGGCTTTCCCAGTCTAGCGACTGGAAAACCTCTCTTTAATTTGCTGAGCTGTTTGTTCCAGGCTTTGTGCCTCAACCCGACAAAGATGCATGGTGCCTTCTCCAAGGCACGTGGTGGGAAAGCCAGTCAGATTATTGCCTGTGGAAACCAGAAAGCCTGTAGAATGATATAACTTTGTCACATTACTCATATGGATTTTAAAACTCAGTTTTCCCTTTCTGGCAGTTTACTTTCATGAGCTGTGAACATCCTATCTGGCCCAGTTTTTAAATTACTTTGCCTTAATCTTAAATGGTATACCGTCTGTGTCATGAAGAATTCTGAGGAACTCAAAATCTTGCCTTATTTATAAAATTTTAGTGATCCAAAAAAGATGTTACCCACTTTCAGAACAGACTTTTTACATTTAGATGTTTGTTACCAATAAACAAATAATTGTGGAGGAATGGATTGGAGGCCTGGCCAAAGATTCCTTCTGGTGAGCTCTTTTGGACTACCCCCCTGACTATCAGATGCAGTTTGAATAAAAGTTTCTTACAACACACAAAGGAGGTGTTTAAAAGTGAAGTTTGGTTGTTACTTTGACAAGTGTTGGATTCATGCTGTAACTACTGGATGAAACAAAAGAGGAAATAAAAATATTTTGATTTCTGATTACCGTAAACCAAGAAGTAACATGAAATGAGTTACTATTGTGTTCTGAGAGCTCTCTGTTCTTGGAAGTATTCTAGATTTCTAGCACATTATATTTCCTTTACACACCTGTAAAGTAAGATAGAAGGCCACTTCACTGCTTAGCATCATTAGCAAATGTGTAGAGGGCAGCCCCAAACAGGGCTGGCTCCTTGACGTGAGTTTATATTATTGATGAGTGCTGGTTTGAATTAAGATTTTAAAAAATTTCTGAAGCTACTTTGCATGGTAGTGTTTACTTATGCTGTTGCTGGTAGGATGCAGTTTCATTTTCCAATCCTCAGTCGTCTTTTGCCCTTTCTTTATTTTTATAATTTGTTCTGGGAGGAAGGAAAGGACAAAGTGAATGGAATCTTGACAGAGCGTAGTAATTACTATCAGGTTATATAATGATCACATGGTAACATTCCCTAGAGCCATACATTAGAAAGTCTGTTATTTAATAGGGTGTTGTTGAAAGAAAGCAGTTGGAAATTGAAAAGAAAAACAGGAAGACATGATGTTAACTATATGATAATAATAAGAAGGTAAAGTTTTAGGAGTTGAAATGAAAATAACGTGATTTAAAGCTAAAGAAATGGCACTTCAGGGATTAAATGAATGCTTATAGTATATTATTATAAGGGACATGATGGTGCTGCGGGATAAACCGCAGAAGCCTCTGTGCTGCAATGTCAAAAGACCTGCAGTCGTAAGGTCGAATCCACGCGTCGGAGTGAGCCCCGTCGCTTGTCCCAGCTCCCGCCAACCTAGTGGTCCGAAAGCATGCAAAATGCGAGTACATAAATAGGTAACACCATGGTGGGAAGGTAACGGTGTTCCGTGTCTAGTCATGCTGGCCACATGAACATGTAAGGATGTGTACGGACAAATGCTGGCTCTATGGCTTGGAAATGGTGATGAGCACCGACCCCTTGAGTCGGACATGACTGGACAAATTGTCAGGGGGAACCTTTACATTTACCTATAGTATATTATGAGATGTTTGGACACAGGCTTTGCAAAGCAATACATTAAATACTGGAATAATGACTGCACCTGAAATGGATTATAAATCATGAAAACTCATGCTAAAATTGTCTTTAAAATAATACAGTAGGACCCCTGTTTCTGTGTGGGGGGGAAATCACTTTCAGGCCCCTCCTGCAGATGCTGAAAAACACAGATTATAACAAACACTATTTTACTACCAAATGCCATACATAGCATGGTTTCTTGCTCCCTTTAGTGGTCACATCTGGTAACTTCATCTTTAGAAATACTGTACATGTTTCTAGGATGTTTCTTTTACTATTTTCAGACTGGATAAATCAGTCTGTGGATAAATCAGTATGCGGCTTACAAATAGATCCCACTGCATTTCAGTTTGTTTTTGTTGAAATAAAATGTGCATCTCTTGAATACTGTGGTTTGATCGTATAAATCTTTCGCCTTTGCAAAATGTGCATCTCTTGTAAAATTGGAATTTATTATTGTGAGATTTGTTTTGCAGTTTAGATGCTGTTTCTGAGATAATTATTTAACATGAATTCTCAGTTTTAGCACTTTAAAATTAGGAAGTGCTTTGGTGTATATTTGCATGGAGGCTTTTAATGTACTGTCAATTCTCATTGCCACAAGCAACCACAAGGTATTTATTTATTCATTCATTCATTCATTCATTCATTCATTCATTCATTCATTCATTCATTCATTCATTCATTTATTTCATTTCTACCTCGCCCCTCTAGACAGCGTCTACTCAGGGTGGCTTACAAATAACTTCATGGGAGTTTGAAACACTTGGAGCAGAGTCCTCTTAGTGTCTTATGCTTGTACAGTGATCTGTTGAGTGAGCAGTTGAATTCTTGGAGTCTGCTTAAGGGGATATTCTTTAACTCTCATGCAAGCCGAAGCCCTGTTGCTTTGAATAGGGTGATGTTGGTTTTTGTTTTTGGCAAGCTGGAGATAATGCAGAAGCACTCTGGATGAAGTCTTCTCCTTTGCTTATTCTCAGCAGAGTGTTGGCCATGAGGACTGGGATCTAGATGAAGTTGATTTAAATAAAATTTATTTAAATATTTAAAAATGGATTTTTTGGATGATTTAAATTAAAAAAATAATTTCTTAAATCATGATTTAAATCAACTTTATTTTAAAAAAAATTATTTTTATCTACCCTGCCTAAATCCAGTTGCTTCACCCAACAAGATTAGACTATTGAGTCAGTGAGGTTTACATGACTGTTTATTTACCAATTTGGCATTTGATAGTTGGGACTAGCCACTAGATTGAGACCTTCATGTTCTATATATTTAACATATATAGAATAATGCAGTAAGGAATTGTATTTTAAAATATTCAGAGTTGTTCCCGTAGCTGTCTGAGTTATCCTAACAGTGTCCGTTTCTGTGTCTACTGTATGCACACAGACAGTTCCAATGTGGAGTGTTCTTGTGCAGCTAGCCTTGCCATCTTGCATTCCATTTATTCTCAATCTGATCAGATTGTAGTCCCACTGAGCATGCTCAGTTCTCAGTGGACTGTTTTGCGTTCCCATCCCTTCAAGCCTATTTTTGAGTTATTTTAAACGGTGAGTTCTGTTGGTATCTCACAGTTCTGTATGTTTGGTTCCATTTTAACAGCATGAGTGTTCACACTAAGGGAATAAATTCATCATGTGTGTCTATACAGAATTAAGAACATAAGCAAAATGTAAGGTTGACAAAATATTTGTGCTTATATAAATCTGCTACAGAGTTGAACAACAGTTCTTTCCATTAATTTCTCTTCATTTAAGCGTTGTCTTTCTAAATGATCTCACTTGGCTAAAATTAGATCAGAGTTAAGCTAATTGGTTCCTGTGAAATGATTAGGATAAATAGCATCACTACAAGATTTTTAATGCTTCAGTTGTCTCTGGCCTACGATTATTTTGGATTAGACAACACTCTTGGTGCTTGTTTCCTCAGAAATGCTGATGCATGATTTCAGTGTTCTGAGGCCAGACAGTGGGATTGTGTCCTAGGAAAATGTCAGTGGCAGGGTCATCCAAGGACACCTATTCTGTATAACAGTATTGGTTATTTTTCTGCACCATGCTATAAAATCAAAGCAGGTTGATTCACAATAGAAATTAAATTAGCCTAAGCTCATTGGATAAGTCCATTACTATTTGTCCTGTCTTTAAAGACCAAGGTGGACAAAGTGTGGCCCACAAGCCACATGTGACTGCCTGGGGCCCAAATGCAATCCTTCCTTATTCCTTGCTCTCTTCTCTCTCTCTTTGTGTGTGTGTTTGTTTATTTATTTAAAGGGTGAATGGGAAAGGCCCCTTGTGACCTCTAGGGAGTGTGGGAGGCATTCTTTACATGTACCCTTCCCTGCACCCTTGTCCCCCCTCCCGCAACAGACCTCCAAAAGATTTTTCTTATTATTGTAATTTTTGGTTTACATTTGACTACTAGAGAGAGTGACAAAGGGATATCCTAGTGTTTGTCATATCAGAATGTTTTCCATGGTTAAGCACTTGTATAGATTGGACTGAAACGATGGATTTGGTTTAAATCACAATTTAAAGTTTTTTAATAATCAGGTTTTTTTGACAATTTAATTTTTAAATATAATTTTTTTAAAAATTGAAGGCATGATTTAGATCCATTCGATTTTTTTTAAATGATTTTTTCCACCCTGGACTGAAACCTCCAGAGTACATCTCTCTACGGAATTGCTTGAATTGGTCAGTGGCTTTAAACAGCCCTGTTTTATCTGTGTCTGATACTTTTCTAAAATTTTTCTGTTTTTTTAAAAAATTCAGGAAAGGACAGAATTATATTTGTGACCAAAGAGGACCATGAAACACCAAGCAGTGCTGAACTGGTAGCAGATGACCCCAATGATCCTTATGAAGACCATGGTAAGTAGTTTGGAAATAAGTACGGTAACCATTTACACACACCCTAATATTGTTTATGTTTTTGCCTTATTGAAATAAGGGAACCTGGAGAAAAATGTTGTTAATTTCAGATTTATCATATGTGTTGTTGTGTCTTAATACAGATTAATAGGTTGGATACAGGCTCAGTTATACCAAGGATTAGAAGTCCCATTGATTTCAATAGGTGTTTTGTTACTGTGGATAGGTCTGGATCTAATCAAGTGAAAATAGCAGATCATTAAGTAAATAAACCTTCAAAACTCAGAAATAGTTCCAGCACAGAGTTTTTTCTTTCTTTTATTACTTAGTTCTTTTCTCATATTCTTTTTTCAGAAATGCAGTAAACCAGCAAGTCTCTTTTATACAGGCGTTACTTTGTGATTGAATGACAGGTGGCGTCTCACAGTTTGCTTACTGTGATCTCCAATTACAAAAATCTGTGACTTTTATTCACTGAGTACAAACAAGGAGCAATGATGCTATTCACATGCAACAGAATGAGCCTGGGGTTCACCTGCTTCCTTATTTGCTGAGATTAGGATTGATCTGTGCTATCTTGATTTGTGATAAACTGTCATTTGCTGCAAAATTTACAAGATGGGAAGCTTCCAAAGTTCCCAGTGTGTGCATGACAGGAAGGAGGGAACACATGGACCCAAGAGCACATTATGTCTTGATAATTCTGAAGTGTCTTATGAACTTCTAGATAAATGTGTCTGACGGTAAAAGTTAAAACATGTTATGCTGTCAGGTCAGAACTAACTTTATAGTGATCCTGGTAGGGTTTTTAGTGTAAGTGAGATATTTAAAGAGTAGTTTTACCCAATCCGCACATACATTCCAGGGAGTTTCCATGACCAAGCAGGGATTCATATGTAGGTCTTCTGAGTTACATTCCATCACTCTATCTACTACCCCACATTCCATCTCTCTCTCTCTCTCTCTCTCTCTTTTTGGACAAGTATATATTCCTAGTGTATAACCACCATTTAAAAGTTGAGAATATTGAACATATATATTATAGTCTGTAATTAACAAATTGAAATCTGGACAGTTTTCTGTGATTATTTGAACACTATGTTAGCCGCCTAGAGTGGTCTTAACCGACCAGATAGGCGGGATATATAAAAAAATAAAAATAAATAAAAATAAATGTTCTTCACTAATCATCTTTATATGCTGTGAGATCCAGAATGTGTCCAAGGCTCCATTAGTTCGCACTCATTACTAAGGTACAGTGGTGAACAGAGTGGGAGCTTTTAGTAGGGCTGGTAAGACCTGCTCAAGAAAGATTTGAACATTGTTGCCATGTTTCTTGACTACTGTATTTGCCGGCATACGAGACGACTTTTTGGGCCCAAAAAACATGCCTCCAAGTGGGGGGGTCGTCTTGTACGCCGGGTGCACTTCATTTGGGCCAGGAAGGAGCCGCCGCCGCCGTTGAGTGAGTGACGTGGGGCCGTGCTGGCAGAGGAGGAAGGCAGGCGGGCGGTCCGGAGGGAGGGAAGCAGAGCCAGCCATGCCTGAGCGGCCAGAGCCCGCTGCCGGGCTGCCCGCTGCCCTGCGCCATTGAGCCAGCTGCCCGCTCACCCGCCCGCAACTGGATAGCCCCTTCCCCTCTTCCGCCGCCTGCCCGGCCACTTCCCCTCCTTCTTGCCCTCCTCGCCACTGAGCCAGCTGCCCGCTCGCGCACCGCCGAAGAGCTGCTTTCCCTCCTCCGCCGCAGGTCCGGCCGCTTTCCCTCCTCACCGCTGAGCCCACTCGCCCGCCCGCCACCGGCTAGCCGCTTCCCC